GTTCTTTGTCACACATCGCAAGTGGTTCCAAACCAGCCCTGTTTCGATGTATGTGGGAAGCAAATACGGTGCACCGAGCGGTTCGTCTTTCCCACCATGGGTCCCTATTGAAGTTGTGTTCGACTTCCAGGCGGATCCCTTTGGTTTCAAGCGTGTTGTGCAGAAAACTTCAGCCATGGTTCGATATGACAAGTACAACACTCTGCGTTTGAAGTACAATGACGAGGTCAACACCGATGGCAATGAAGGTTCTTCTCAAGACAACGCGGAGACCCGCATGGACAATCTTTGGGTCGAATTCCCAACAGCCAGAGCCCTCTGCAACTCATCGCAGTACTACGCTTTGTACGTCATCGTGTTGGATCTTCTCATGTACAACGAGCCCATGGAGAAGACACGAAATGAGCGCCTAGAAAAGATCATCCTCGCGTCTGATTTCAGCGACTTGAGTGGCACTCCTGCCATGGTTCAGAAACTACAACAACGTATCAGGCAGATGGAAGAGATCAAAGACCATTTCCAGATCTATGCAAAGTACCTTGACAAGAAGGGCTGGGAAGATCGGTTGCGACTTGAAAACGATCTTGCGGCTTGTGAGGACGAGTTGTTTTTTATGATGAAAGCCATTACCTCTTCTCAGAGAAAATTTGACGTCAACTCGGATGATAGCACCGGTTTACTTAAGTGGAACATCACTATTCGAGACATTGTTTGGCACCTCATGCAAGACTCGAATGAGCCTTTGGTAGAGTTACAGCTCAAAGATCTTGAGTATGATCGAACGGACAACTCCGATGGTTCCCATGTCAACCTCATTCGAGTCGGAAAGGTTCTTGGTCTGAATTTGTTGCCTGATGCGACATATCCAGAAATGATAGCACCGTACATCGACCCCGAAAGACCACACCAGCAGGACGGCGAGCACAAGGAGATGATTCGGGTTTACTGGCACATGCTGGAGGCCATTGCAGGCATTCCTGTGATGGACCGATTCGAAGTCAACCTGTTTCCCATCAAAGTGCAACTTGAGCATGAGGTCGGAAAGCGCCTTTTCGAGTACATCTTCCCTGGTATCAATGGAGAGAAGTCAGCTGGTGCCAAGAACGACTCACCATTCATGCTGAAACAGGTCACGGCCGATGGAGAGGACGATGACGAATATGATGATGAAAACGGTGGCGCAACGCCTTCATACTCGGGTAGACATTCATCTTCGTCATCCTTTTCAACTGGTTCGGGTTCTCTTGAACTCCGATTACGACCTACCTTGACATCAAACACCAAAGCTGAAGCACCCCCAGGAAAGGCTCTGCGTGTTAACACAGGCAACGAAGGTCATTCCTTCCGTCTTTTCCGTGCTCCCGGAACATCCAAGACTATGCTCAAAAAGGCGTCCCATGAGTCACTTCGCTCTAATATGGGCCCTCGAGTTGGTTTGACGCGTGCATCAACAAGTCGTTCTTCTCGAGAAGACCGAGAATCGAGAGAAAATGACAAGAGGTCTAGGTTTGGACTTGGGAAGCGAAACAACAATGACAAGCCGCCTTCGGACGATCTCACCAAGATGATGACACGTGCAAGCCATTTCATGACCTTTGCCTCTATCAAGATGCCGTCAGTTGTTCTTTGCCTGAGTTACCGGGGTAAAGACAATCGCAACATTGAGGATGTGCACGATTTTGTCTTCAGGATGCCAAGCATTGAGTGGGAGAACAAAACATGGTCCAACTTGGATCTGGCCTTGTCTCTCAAGAAGGCAGTAGTCAAAGCGTTGATTTCTCACACGGGTGCTCTTATTGGCAACAAGTTCTCGAAACATCGACCCAATGCCGAACAGCGAGACAAGCTGCGAGTGTTAGCTAATAGCTCAGTCCTCATTGCGCCATCGTCTTCGGGCGGTTCCCAGCACCATCCTGGCAGTATAAACGACAGTGATGATTCCAGCATGTATGGCGCATCTCCTGTTGACTTCTCTCGATCTCCTCCTCGAAGTATTCGAGCTCCAAGCACACATGGTAGTGTACGTCCAGGGTCAGCGATGCGACGCCGCAGTCGAAGTTCAAGCGTCAAGAGCCGATTGTCACATCGAAACGGTGGCGCAGCTCCAGCCCCCCTTGCTCATCATGGTCCCCATGTTCCGGCTTTCCTGATGATGACACCCCCGACACCCATTGAAGATCCTCGTGGTGACCGGCAACATCACTTTGGCTCCGAACTTTTACGGCCAAGTACAGCAAGCCCACAATTGCAAAGCACAACTTCCAGCAACTCTTATGCCAGCAGCACTCACAGCACTAGTCCCCAGAGTAATATTCCGGTACCCGCTGGGCAACACCCCAGGCCTGGGTTTAAAAGAATCCCGACTGGGATAGAACGCCCTACTTCAAGTATGAGTAATCACGACTCCAGCGGGTCTAGTGTACGCCGAAAGAACGGCGCAAGCAATCTGAAGGACAAGCTTAGTGCGTTCACACACCGTATCGGCAATCGGGAGAGCAGTCAGTCACAGCAAGAAGATGATTCGGAGACAGTTGATGAATCACAATCCCCTACACCTTCCGGTCCAAAAAGTAGATCTAGGCGATCATCAAGTCATACGGGATCACGACTTGGCTGGACACCTAACAGGATGAAGGCAGGCTGACAAGAAGAAGTCATGCCATAGTGATAGAGAAGTATATGAGACTCGGTGTAGTTTTAAAATATTGGCAAATGGGCGCATTGGTCGGATTAGAAAGGGAGGTTCTTTGTTCATTCTTTTGCATATCCTGACATCCTTCGTTGAAAGCCAGGATGCACATACGATATACATATCATACATAGTAAGCTCGGTGTATTGGATTGATGAGTGAGCGATCATTGGAATAGGGATGAGCCCTAGATCAGGTTTGAAGCAAAAAGGGGGCAACCTCAGCAAGGCATTATTAGGTGGAATTCTATATGTAATACAAAAGAATTGATATTTTGCATTCAATTATTGAAACAGTTGCGATGTGCGAAAATGAAGTTGAACGGTTTAATTTGATGCTTAGATTATATGATTTATATGGTATCGATGCTCCCTCTTCCCAATCTTCCATAGATACCCCAAATGTATGTTGTTTCCGTACCTGCGCCATCTTGAAAAGGCGAGGTTGTCCAACGTAATAAAGAACGCTTAACGCAAAGAAGAAGTATGTGTATGTATGTTTATGCAAAGCGAATCCCCATGGATGTTTCTGTAGCTTATGCCCTTTCTCGCTGAATATTTGCACGCTTACTGTCGACGGCCGAGGATGTTGAAGAGACTTGTCCTGGGGTCCTCGATGGCACCGTCAAAGGTTCTTGCTCGGTTGGTCTCGCTCTCGACTGTGTTGTACTTTGCAAAGGAGCGGTCGAACTTGGCTGATGTGGTGGCAAGCTGGGAGCTCACGTAGCTGGCGATAATGGCGAAGCTGCCGACAGCTACGACAACAGGGAGGGCCCTTTTTAAGGAAGTGGTCAGATTGAGATTCACAGTGTGTGGGGGTTAGAGAGAGCTTACTTGGGGTAGGCAGCAGGCTTGACGAGAGCGGGTTTAGCGATGGCGGCCATTGTGAGTGATGTGGTGTAAGTGAGATAACACTTTTAAATAGTGATTGATATGAGTGTTGGAGGTGAGATGAGGATACAATGAAGAATTAACTGTGTTGATGATGAGGAAAAGTCACTCCATTTTGACGAGTTCCTTCTAGTCTCTTATATCCATCTAATTTTTGTATGTGTTGGTCTTCTTCACTTTTGAATCGTTGATCATGAGCCGTAGGATTCTCAACTGGCACTTGAGAGTCGGTCGATGGTGGTGTGATTGTGAGTGCTGGCCCCTGGGCTGTCTGACCTATTCGGGCGATTCCGGGGAACCAGGGAAACCCAGATTAGGAAATTTGGGGAATCGCAGAATATGACTGTAACGACATGCCAATGCACCATATATATATATATGAATGTATTATTGTCTTTTTTTTGCTAGGATAATTCATTTCTCGGGACATGTTTGTCGATGTGGAGTAGCCAGTGATACAAGTCAATGTTGACATCCATACATAAAATCCACCACATAAAAAACATAATATTGATACAATAGATCCAAATGACGATCATGGATCAATCATCTCTTTGCTTGTGTATGTAAATTCCGGCCTCTACCGGAATGAGGTCGTCAACAGCGTTCGTTCTGGCCTCATGTTACCTCTTTGAGCGCTGACAATCTGACCATTCCCATGGCGGGGCCCACCGACAACCAACACAGGCCTCTCTATCATTTCATTTCTCAGATACTGACTGCAGTAGCCTTGAAAAATAAAGGACCTGTCCGTTGTTCTGGGTGGCAAAAAACCTGCTGGAACCAACCTGGTGGTGCCATACCCCAGAATATATCGAACAAGGGCGAGAACCCGACGCTCACTCCCGACAATGGGGTTTACTGCACGCTTGGCATCAGATAATTAGCGATGAGCATATGATTCGCGATCGGCAATTGTAAAGATATTTTTTTTGTTGTGTGTATCTGCAGGCGTATGCTCACAGGACTAAGTTTTCCGTATTTCGGAACCATGTCTAGGGAGGCGGTACTTCATCAGATCATGTCCTGAAAGAACTGGACACCTCAATGTTGCCACACATGAGAAGCCTTATCGCCTGCCTCTCATTAGCAACCCTAACGAAGAGTTCTGACAGCGCCATGAATCCTTATTTTGATCACTTGTTGCACATTTTCCGAGTTTTCTGATCGTGTTTTACTCTGCAGGCCTTGTCAGCGACTCTCATCGTCGTCAGGGGCTGCAAACAACCCGCCTTCTTTGAGAGAACCGGCGAGAGGTAACGGTACAAAGCAAAGAACTGGTCTTAACTTGGAAGAATTTGACAAAGCCTTTTTCTTCTCCTATGCTCTCGGCAATCAAGCCTTTTCCACCCCAGAGGTATGGTTTTCTTTGGTATGGGATACCGCCTCTGGATCAAGGTTCCGGCAACTGATCCCATCTTCAATCTTGACTAGGGTACGGCAACGGGGTGTTGCTCAACTTCTCTTTTCTGTCCCAATTTGTTGTGGCCGATCTCACTTCGGCCATTTTTCTTTCCTTTTGTCTCAGTTCCTCTAGTTCTGTTAGTGGCAGCGGAGCCTTTGCGATCCTCGCGGCCAGGTGGTACCAGGGCTGGAGATATCCGCCATGCTGTAACTCGTTTGTCACATCGAGAACTGCCAACCCCAACAAAGCTCGCATTGTAAAATGAGCATCGTTACCGGCTGAATGTAACTTGGAGTACCGAATGCCCAATAGTTCTAGCAGTACGCGGAGGGAAGGTGCCTGGGGCTGTTGAATGATGAGATACGTCGCCAGGCAAAGGTCGAGCCAGTAAATATGGTCAAAAAAGACGCCAAAGTCTCGTAAGATGATGTAATCGTTACGAGCTGAGTATGCGACGCCAATCACAGTTCTGTCGTGCTGCCATTCAACGAATTTCTTCTTGATGCCATCCAGAGATATCGTCTGTGTCTCTCCGAAGATAAAATTGTCTGGTTCAGGGACTTCGGTTTGAACCGCAAACTCATATGTCCTGATAAGATCCGCCGGGTTTGGTAAGTTGATCGAGCGCAATACAACGTCCCGAATGTCCCTGGTATCGAGAATTGATACGCCAAGATGAAAAGACGTGACACGTCTCTTGGTCTCGCCTTTGAGCGTATATGGCAGTCTTCGTACCCTGTCAGTGTCAATGCAGATGAGCCTTACATCCCTCATGCTAGTCTTCCTCAATCGGTATGGCATCTCTTCCAGCCAGTCCTGCTTGAAATTTGTCGTAGTACTGTAACCCATGATCAAACGAAGTTGTTGGAGTGCAACAAATCGCCTATGCAGTATGGGATTACTTCTACGATTCCCGGGGTCGTAGTATAACTCCCTCGAGTAAGGGACTTCAAATGACCAGCCGTACGTCTCTTTGATGTATTTGTTCCTCTCTTCCTTTGACATGCTTCTCAGCCTATGCAAATTTTTGAGATCATGTTCAGAGTGATTTTCTTTTCTCAGTCGCCAGTAGTTGTCTTCTGTCAATGGCTCTTGCTTTGGCAATGGTTTTCTTGTCGACTCTTCGTCTCTTGGTTCTTCCTCAACTGGTGATGGGTCTGGCCGAAATGTCAGCTCTGACAATTCCGACAGTAATGGCGGTTCCGATGGAGGTTCATTCGATGACGGTATTCCGTTTCGTGACCTTTTCCGCGATATTTTTGACTTTGTATGTGCTTGTTGCCTGATCCTGTTGGGAGTGAGTTTGTTGGCCACTCCAATAGGTCTAGAACTCCTGAAAGTCCAAGAAGACCCAACCTTTGCAGCTGTGGCATCATCTGCGGCAGTAGTGGTATCTTTCGCAGTAACATCTTCGGTGGAGGTAACATTGGTCGCTGCCTTTTTCATAACGGCATCTTTCGTAATGACTTTCTTTGTAGATTTATCCTTTGAAATGGTAGTCTTTTTTGTGTTATTCTTCATAACAATATCCTTCGCAATGATAATGTTTGTCGTGGCATCCCCCGCAACGGTTGCCTCTGTAGTGGAATTCTTCACTGCAGTATCTTTTGTAGCAATGCTTGTCGTAGTAGCGTCTTTCGCAATGACATTATTTGCGGTGGTATCCTTCGCAATGGCAGCATTGGCAGGGGCATTATTTATAGCAGCATCTTTCAGTGTGGTCGGTTTGATGGGAACACTTCTAATAGGGATGTTTCTGGTGGCAACGCCTTTGGTGGCAGTGACTTTGACAGCAGCTCTTTTAATGGCAACTCCTTTGAAGGTAGTCGTCCTGAGGGTTGTCACTTTGGTAGTTTTGTTTGCTTCAATTGCTTGCCTTTGTAGTCTTGCTTTTTCAACAACTGACCTAATCCGTGCTTTCTCAGCTGCCGACTTCTCTCGTTCTTCGGTGACTGCTATGAACATTCGCACTTGCTCAAATGCCTCCTGAAGTGCCTCCTCATCTGGTTCAAGTGAAGGTGTTTCCTGTGGTGTCTCAGTTGAATAGCTTTTTGCTAAGCTGGTCCGTGTAAGTCCATCCTTCTTAGCTGAGACCCGCGGTTTTGCGAGCCTGCTGATTGACCTCAGCATGGGATGGTGCTTGGGAGCTTGGGTAAGGCGAGCATTGATATCCGAGGCGGCCAGCTAATGCAGGGAGTATCGTGATCAACCCCAATTCAGGGCTTAAGTTTGACTTTCAGTTAGTGTTGAATCTGTACTCGTTCGTTCCATTACATTACTGAGAATTCAACGTCTTGGCACGTGACCCCACCTGCAGCTTATTGGGCCTGTGCCTATGAAGTGAAGCCTTAAAAGTAAGGCTTTCCTTTTCAATGTAATAATAATGTTGGGTTTGGCAATTAGAGAACAACAATGCCATTGTAAGATGATAAGACTATCATCTGCTATATTCTGGACTGTGCGTTCATTGTTCAATCTGTCAGCTATCTTCGCCTACTGCAAGCTACTGTACAACACTAAGCATTACAGCGCAGTCAGTGAACAATAGTGGGGGTTGAAGATCAGTAATGATCAGTGACTGTCGCAGTGCATAAGAGCATGAACTGATAAGCTTAAACCAAAAAGTCAAACTCGACGACTGATATTTGAATTTGAATTTGAATTCGAGATTAGCTGCATTGACCAATTGATCTTTCTCGAATTGACTCTTTAGCTAAGAACAGTAACAGGTTTGTAATGAGGCAATCAAACATTTTGCCCGTGCATTTTTCTTCCCCAGATGTATTATGTAAGGGCCTGAACATGAAGTCCGTCAAGTGTACTATTATTTTTACAGGTAACGTTGCCGCTGTCGCTGTCAAATAGCGTGGCATGGAAGCCCCAACCAAAAGGCGAGACAAGGCGAAGCCATGATACCGGAGCCGAGGTTGAGGTAAGGGGATCGGACCGACTCCAGATTTTTACCCAAAGTTGGTGGGTTGAAATTCTTTACAGTTCCACTCTTGAGCTTAATACTTTTAACCTGATGAACAAAATCATGAGATGTTTTCTAGTTATGAGGGAGTACTAGGGCGAGAGTAAACATTCCAGAGAGATATAAAAACCAACGGTCATGTCTCTTATTGGCGGATACCTTGATATGAGAATCCGTACTATATATCCGTAAGTACTTTTCCATAGGTGGCCGTTTGAAAGTCTCTGCAATCCACAGAATCATGTCCCCCATGGGCAAATCCTTCATCCCCCCGTAATCCATAGAAACTATTACACTACAAAAATAAAACTTGACCCACGGCTCGGGAGGAAAGAGGCTAAAGTGGCCAACCAGTTTTCGCAAAAGTGACGTGTTGGTCGACCAATCGCTCCTGCAAGACATGACGCCCCATTATTAAAGCAGAACAGAGCAGGAACGCCCAAGCTTAGCTTAATATTCGATTCGATTCACTCTTTCTTCTTTCCCTTCTCCCCCAGAAGACTCCTTCCTTCGTTGTCTTCAAGTTAAATCAATCATTCAACTGTGTATAATTATCATGATCATCAATCTGGGGAATCAATAAGCAAACCTGTTTGACTGCCCTATCCTGGACCTAACTTCAACCCTGTATCCAGGATATTCTCATCTCAACATGGTCTCACTCACATACGACAATAAAAAACAAAATCCGCGTAATCGACATGAGACTGCGCTGGTGGCATTCAATACCACCTATCCGTACAAAGATGGGCCCTTCAAATGAAGCTATCCCCACAGATGCTCGCCCCATACCTCTACCAGAATTACCCGAGTTCGCAACCGAAACAGGAACAGAAAACAGTTCGCCTGATCTCGAGTCTTTCTCCAATGGTCTCTCCCAGTCACTGTGGCTGCCCCAGACTCACGCCTCCGACTCAACTACGAGGCGAGTCTATCGTGGGTTTGCCGAGGAAAAGGAAGCCACCTTCTTTACCTGTTGTCGCCAGTATCCAAAGGCCGTGGGCTGGTCACTATTGCTCTTCCTGACTGTTGTAATGGAGTAAGTCATGATCTGCATGTCGTCTATTAGATAAGAAGCTAAAGAAAAGCAGAGCCTATGACAAGTCCCTGGTAACCGGTCTCTTTGCTTTTCCTGCATTTAGACAAAAATACGGCAAGCCGACAGGAGGGTTAGATGACCAAACCTACGAGATCTCACCCTCGTGGCAGATGGGCTTACAGAACGCTGCCATTGTCTGCGAGATTATAGGTCTCTTGGCGCACGGCTACATCACCGATCTTATCGGATATCGAAAGATGATGCTTGTCAGTTTGTTCTGGATGTGCATCGCTGTATTCCCCGCATTCTTTGCCGATAGCATCGGCGTCTTGTTGACATCGCAAGCTCTATCCGGTATGTGCATACATGTCTAATTCTGTCCAAAAAAAAAACTAATCATCCCATCCAGGGCTATCATGGGGTGTCATCGAAATTTTAGCTGCCACATATGCAGCTGAAGTCGTTCCAAATGCTCTGCGTCCTTTTGTTCTAAGCAGCATCAATATGTGCTGGCTTGTAGGACAGGTGATCGGCACAGGCATTCTTCGTTCGCTTGTTCATGAAACTTCACAATGGTCTTATCGCCTTCCCTTTGCACTTCAATGGGCGTGGGCGATACCGTTGTTATTCGGCGTGTGGTTCGCACCCGACAGCCCATGTAAGGGCATCACCCCCTTCATCTCCGCACAATACATCTGACACGAACACAGGGTGGCTTATTCGTCATGAACGAACCGAAGACGCAAAGAGGGCTCTCACACGACTTTGCAACAAGAACCATACCGACATCGAAGACACCATCTCACTGATGAAACACACCAACAAGATGGAAAAGCACTGTAACTATGGAGGAGCCAGCTATAAGGATCTCTTCAAAGGAGTCAACCGACGCAGGACCGAGATTGCATGTCTCGCATGGTGCTCTCAGGCCCTCAGTGGTTGGTCGCTTACATCGTACGCACCATATTTCTTCGAACAGGCTGGCTTCAGCGCATCCATCTCTTTCAACCTCTCGACAGCCTGCTATGGAGTCGGTATCGCAGGCGGTATCATCTCCTGGATCCTACTGCCCTTTGTAGGACGTCGAAAACTTTACCTTTACGGACTCGTCACGCCAATTTGCCTTTTGACCGCTGGCGGCATTGTCTGGGCGGTACTGAGCGACCGAACCGGCGCAAATTGGACCTTGGCCGGATTAATTATCGCCATGACATTTGTATACGACATGACCATTGGCCCCGTCTGCTATATTGTGGTCGCCGAGATCCCTTCCACTCGATTACGAGTCAAAACTGTTGCTCTAGCAAGAGTGACATATAACCTTTGCCTAATATTTAACAATATCATTATGCCCAAGATGCTGAACCCATCTGCCTGGGACATCGGCGGCGCCTCATGCTTCTTATATGCCGGAACAAGTTTTTTCTGCTTAATATGGTGTTATTTTAGACTTCCCGAGACGAGGAATCTAACATTTTTGGAGCTCGATATCTTATTCGAGAGGAAGGCACCCACGCCAAAGTTCAAAGAGCTGCAGGATAGGCTTGAGGATAGTGCGTATCTCTCCATGACGAGAACGGAGCGATTGACGAATTGGCATGGCTGGCTAGCTTATTCATAATAATGAGATCAACGATAGTGATTTAATACTAATACTATAATCCGCTTATTGGACCTTACAATGCCAAGGTCGCCGGCTTGTTGTGATTCCTTGTCTGCGCTGCCCAAGTCGACGCGAGTTATACGATACGGAGAATAGCCATTGCCTAGTCAACCATTTTGCCAGCTGACCAAGATCAGCGACGCTGCTCTGGCTCAAAAGCCGGTGTGGCTTATTGCGGTGAGTGCCATCGGACATGAGAGTCTGTCACTTATGGTACGAGCGCGCTGATCGCAATGTCCGTTTCGCCCGGGCATTCGTTCCGTGTAGATCGCGTGTAAACCAGATGGAACTACGGAGTAAGGATATAAACATAACCCTGGACATGGTGAGATGGGTGAGGCCGTCATGAGACAGTCTCGTGACAGCTGAACCGTGGCATGCCTGGGGATTGTGAACCTCCACTCCTACATTCGGAAAATGTGACTAATATGACATTGACTTGTCTCGGTTGAAGTAACTAGATAGATGTGTTGATGTAATGTAGTTCTAATTTTTATGCCTAGATATAGTCTGCTAAGAAATCCTGTATCTTTCGGATGAGTTTTACATTCATGCCACTCTCGTGTTTCTAGACGGTCATGAGTTGATAGATGGTCACTTTAATCATATTTATTTCTTTAATATCCCGGTTTGTATCAGAGCCTTGGTTGGAGTAGTTGAGAACGTTCACTGTTATCTTCAACTGCTCAAGCCATCTATTCTGGTTCGTAGACTTCACTTTTGAGATGAACATCGATCATGCAATAGTCTAACTCAATGTATGATATCTAAATATACTTTCTGTCTAGCAATACTGGAATATTACATAACATGTGAGTCAAGGGCTCAACTATCGATTCAGTGTATCATGTTAAATCATTTTTTCAAAAGGTCATGTGTGGTATCTTTCAGCTCGACCAACAATCAAATTCTAAAACGCAGGGTCTGTCTTTCATACAAACGTTAAACTCGACTCCTATCTATTATTCGTGTCGTAACAGTTCCTTGGCCGTTTGAATCTCGACCAAAATCAACCAATCAGCTGATGACTGTGAATGTGAGTACAGAAACTACAACTTGATTCGAAAGTCCGGATTTACATATGAAGGTTAAAGCAATCACTTTAGATAACGATATATACCTCAGTAATTGAGTGTAACTGCTACCGCAATGACATATATCATTCAATACATAGCATGGGAGCACATCTAAGCCTAGACAGCCTCTTCTTTATTACTTACAACACTTACAACGACCACAGCTTGCATTGAATTCCAAGCTAGATAGGTATTGCCTTGTGCTGTATTCAATACTAAACTGCTCGTTGTACATGTATACTAAATGTTATAATATAAGACGGGAGGGTACAGGATGATGCCAGCCGTCTGATACTGATAGAGAATGTTTAAGACTATACGTTGATTAGACGGGATTTATCAGTGCAGATCAAGGCTCATAACTAGTATAACACTATTGTCTTTTCACGCTGACTTGACCAAAACAATGCCATCACTCGTATACGTAGTCAAACTTCAAGCATTGCCTCACTCATCTCCTGACAGATACAATATGGGTAGGATACACAACACATATGCAAGTTCGCACTCGCTTAGGAGATATCCAGATTATTTAGAGGCCAGATAATAATTCCACAGATACAATCGACTCAAAAGCAGCTCGTGGGTTTATCCGGTTGCTCTTTTGCACAAAACCCACCTTTACTTTTTCACCTGCCTATAACTATAGCTCCTCGTAAACGTGCAAGCTGGGACGTTTCAAAATCGAAGTATTTCATGCGACACTATCTATCGCGGGGGACTTTTGCTCCTCCACCAGAAGCAAGTCTTGTCTCCTTCTTGTCGCGGCTAGCTCATACCCTGGGCTCCTATGCCAAGGATCCTCGCTGAGAGGATTGTCGTTCCTGGGGTATAGATAAGTGAATATCTGTCCAGTGGACGATTTGCAAAAGTGCCTCTGCTATCGATATGGTCCTGAGCCTCGGCTTGGGCGGTTTTATCAATATTCAGTCTCAAGGTATCAGGGCATTTTGTACCGTGCCCTACCATATGTGTATGCAGGCTTCAACAGCTTGGCGATCCACTCGTAAGCCTTTTAATAAAGACCACATAACCACTAAATTAGCAATCGATAATACACCGCTCCGTCAAATGAATATCGTCTAATATTTGACCACAAAATTGTTGAATGGCATTTCGTAATGAGCGGTCTAGACTAGAACATGGGGCCACCTGGGACAGGATAGAGGGAGAATTGTCTCCGCCACACGCCCCTTGAAGCGTAGGGATACCATCGAAACTACTGCACAACAAAGTGCAGAAAGGGACCCCTAGGGAAAATCTTTCCTTTTCCCACCATTTATTTCCCTTATCGAAAGCGGGGAGTTATCAATTTTTTTGCCCATAGCCAAAACATCGACAATTACCGCGCTTATAGCCCCGGCCCCTGGCTAGCGTCTGAAGCGATGCAGACTCACGGCTTTTCCCCCCACAACAAGAAGGAACCTTCTTCTAGAAGTTCTTCTGTCCCGCAAGAGAAACTCCTGTCATTGCTGCTCCAGTTTTGCCCGGGTGAGAAGCATAAAGAGAAGGTCCCTAACGACTGCTCAAGCGGAGAGTGTGAAATAAGGTTGTCAGCCGAAAGTGCCAACCGCTCCATGTAGCCAGGATCCAGTAACTGTTGACCACGCGTTTCTCGTTGATGAACGGACGGTCGATGACTGAGACAACAACGCCAACGTGTTTTACAGCGCAGCTAGCTGTTGGTTTTATGAGGTGGTTGGTTAGGCATTCGTGCATTGTTCAACCAAGACGCAGCCTTACCTTTTCAGGGGAAGTTTCAAGACTCCACATCCAGAACGGTGTCAAAGGGACAAGCTGGTGATATTAGCCGACATGCAAAACGTGAACACCAAAACATTAATGTAAATGTTGTGATAAAAAATATATAAGTGTTAACAAATGGATATCCAAGTGAATAGACCGCTCAATGCCTTCCGTGTTGTCTGCGCCCATTCGTCTCGCCATCTCAAAAGGGCGGTTGTAAATCTGTGTGATATGTACCAGTAAAATTACCAGTCCTGCTCAATAAAAAATAAAAAATCCTTCCAAAATTCGCCGACCTCAATGCTCTGTTCCTGCCGGTCCTGAGTGCCAGCCAACTCCTGTCAACAAATACAATGACTCCTCCACCGGGAGTGTTCTCCGAACTTCGTCTCACCAACTCCAGATCACCGAAAGTGAGCCGAAATTTCGCTCAACTCTGGCCAATCCCGCGTGGGCGGGGGTCAAATGCCGAGGAGACCAATCTGTGTAGAGAAAAGACGAAAATTTTGTTGTGTACAAGAAGTAAATCCATGTCTTTGTTCTGATAATCGCGTGCTTTTTTCTCCACCGCTCGGTGATAAGAAAGGGGAATAAATAAATGAAATAACGTGAATGACGGAAAACTCCTGAAAATGCTAGCCGCTTTCTAGAATGATGAGATGTTCCCATGTCTAATGTAAACTGTGATTGGATAGTGGTGTGTTTTGGTCAATGCCCTCATGTGAAGACGAGTGCCGTAGCCCATTTGTTTCGGGTTCGTGTTCGGTGGCCAATCCGCTTTGGATAGGAGTAACTTTGCCCCATTCTTTTCGAGTCAGAACCAGGGCAACTCATTTTGCCCTAGGGCCATCATCGGGTTGTGGAACCATAGGTCGCGGGTGGTGTTCCAAAACCCTTCCATTGAGATGGGGGGGCAAAAAATTTGCATCATAGCACCCAATGGCATGGGTAAACGTCAGGCACTCCATAATGTGCCCACGAGGTGGAACCCTTGTCGGTTGGTCCTCTTCTGGCTGTCCTGCCCGAATTGGCATTGTAACGATGCGAAAAAACCATGGCCAGGTTACATGACGTTGCATGACATAGAATGTTGGATTAAACCCTTCCGAGTTGGTATGCCCATTGTCTGTCGAGGCACAGCAATAGCAGTCTAGGCCATAATAGGTACCCAGCGGGCGGGAACACCATTTGCACCCATCTCGTAGGGCTTGGTCGATGTTTGTCGAGGAGGAAGTGCAAAACGGGCCCGTCCGGGTCGCTGGTCATCGAGTTTCCCACACTTGCGCATAGCCATCTCCATTACAGCAATACGGATGAAGTCGGAGTTCTCACGCATTTCCCGCTGTCGCATGCCTGGCACCAGTGTGGGGGCCTGCGGCTGTGGCTGTTGAGGTGCAGGGGAGGGCTGTGACTGGAGCGAAGTTGATGGATAAGAATTTCGGGTAGAGCCCGGAGGTGCTCGGGAGCGCTGGATCTTGTAAGTACGCATTTGAATGGATGCAGCAAAAGTTCCCGCGAAAACGGTTTTGGCGGGCGGTTCAATTCTGGCATTCGTTGTAGGGTTGAGATAACGGCGCATGGCTGCCGAAGGCATTTCCTCGGAAACAGGTGGGCGACGCTCATCTGCATAAGGGACATTAGGATCAATTGTCAGAATTGATCGAGTTAGGTAATCGTCCGGAGGAATAGATGGAAGATTTAAAACCGAAAAGGATCGAGCAGCCGAGCGGAGAGCCCGGAGAGACGCAGTCAGATTCGACTTGAAGACAGACCTCAATGGCTTGAAAGGCTCCAGGAACTGTGACTTGGGCTGAACTTCTTCGGGTTGATCAACAGTGGTGAGGTCGAAATCGTCAACATCCAAATTGTCTCTTGCCAATGGATGCTCATCGACCGAACCAGGCGGGGAGATAACGGGCTCCAGGGACTTTCGCATGGGTGTTGATTTTGTTCTTCGGGAACACGGGCTGGGAGTCCTTGGGCTTCCGAGAGATGAAAGACCATCGCTCGAGAACGAGCCATCAAGAGAAGGGATAGAGTCAATGGAATAAGTCCTTGTGGACATGCTGGAGCCAATGTTGCAATCGCTCACACTGTCGTCATCATCCATAATGTCCTGAGGTGGTGAGAGGAGCATGTCCAGTGGACTGCTGAATGTCCAGCTAAGTTCCTTCTCTGAAGCATGCTGGCATTCGATGACCTCCTGCACCGTCAAGGTCTTTTCAGATCGTCGTCGTCGTCGTTGAAGCTGTTTGTGCTTAGGAATATCCGTGACGGCCAGAAGTGCAGCTAGAGATGGTGAAAGGTTATCCGAAGATCTAGAGTCATTGCTTCGTTTTCTCTGTGACGAATGACGTTTTTGAGGATGGGCGGTATATCGGTTGTTGGTGGTAGGGATCTTGACTGGGCTGGTAGGTGTAGTCGGTCTCATGGTCAAGCTGACAGTGGTTTTAGGTGGGCTTGAAGGGGACAAGCTGGAAGTCTCCCGCCAGTCTTTGCGTTTACCCATTGTTGCATCGAAGGTCGGCTGAGTTGAAGATATAGTGATTGCAGTGCGCTTCTCGTTATCGTCATACTTGGGCGACCAGCGCGAGAGTGAAAATGTGGTCGACTGCTGGGTCGAAATCGCTGGAGTCGCCAACTTGGTAGTGGATGCCGGTGGCGATGTATGTAAGTGAGATGTACTTTGGGTCGATAGAGACTGAAGCTCAGACGACGGAAGATGAGGATGAGATGAAGTAAGAGAAGGTGAAGGTGAAGGTGAGGATGAGGATGAGGAGGAAGATAAACGTGTGGAAATGGGAGTGGGAACGGGAGATAGAAAGGGAGTATGAATAGATAAAGTATTGTGATGACTGCTAGTCCCGGTATTACAAGGGGAGGAAAGAGGGCGTTGGTGCTGATGCTGTTGCTGCCGCTGCGCCAGCAGGAAGGAGCGTGGAGTCATCATTGTGGCCACCCCCTAGTCCCTAGTCTTAGTGCTGGACCTTGGACCCTAGTCCGAATCGCGGACACCCAGACAGGGCAAGTGTGACAATTGGAAGCCTTGAGGCCGGTACCTTTGATCCTGCCTTGGTCGGCGCTAGGTTGGGCAGGGAGCCAGGGTATGGTGTGCTGGCACTTTGCTGCACTGGGCTGCGCTGTACCGCGCTGGAGGTGAAGTGTCTGGCGGAGCGGAAGTGGGCCCGCGCCTGTTTTGTAGGGGTTTTACAGTGAGTCTTCAGGGCAGGGCCGCTGTGTGTCGTGCCCAGTGGGTCCTCGTTCGCTGGCACTCAATACACCTGCTTTGTTTTTTTCTTTCTGTCTGAAGTGGCTTCTTTTTTGGTTGGAATGCTCAGCCCTGATTGATTGATAGATAGAGCGAGGCTTCAGTCTCACTCTACTTTACCTCAAGTTCCATTCAATTGAGGGCTCTCCCTCGCTTTGTCGATCAGTCCCCTAATCTTGCTTTTTTCCAGTGTTTTCTCTCTCAAAGGACCCTTCGTCTTAGATCAAGACACGGAAACCTTGTCTAGGTTCAACAAGCTTCGATTTCAGGCCCAACCTGTCCCGGATATGAGATCCGCAACACACCGCAAACCGGAGGCCAGGCCAGCCAGCCAGCCAGAGGAGAGTAGAGTAAATGAAGCAAGGAAGACCAGTCCGGGAATGACCGCGTGTCCGTCTTGTCCCCAGCAAAAGTAAACTGTACCAGCAACTGTGTTGTATGGACAATTTCAGTAACGTAAACACGATGGCTTGGATTGGTCCGTCGATCAAGGGTGACGCTTGTGAGTTCGTCAAAGCCCTAGAAGCTTGTAAGCAATGGCGAATCACGTTTTGATGGCCAAGTGGCACTTGTAAGGACCCCGAATTGATTCTCCGTTTGCTTTGTGTTACGCTATCGCGGATACGTAACGGGTCGTGCCTTGCAGCTCTGCAAACTTCTGCTGCGTTGTGGTCGTGTGTCTCTGGTAATAAAGACAGCCAGATACGCAGGGGTCTGATATTGACAAATCAGATTGGACAAGGTTGATAGTATTAGGGCCGCGGAGAAGCTTGTTTGCTGTCCATCCTGTCTTGGAATGAATGTTCGAGGAGGCAGAATATTTCTCTTTAACAACAAGAACAGTCGAGATATCTTCCGCAACAAGTTGGGTTCTTCTTCCTATACGAAAGAGCGGTAACCACGAATATCTATGTCCTTATCCCAACGACTACGGTAGTCCTCGTGGGCAGTGGGCGGGGCGTGGACAGGCTCAGGCTGGGGATTTCGGGCAGGGGGCAGAGTGCCAAGCAAATGTCTGAGATTGAAGTTCGACAATTAAATACCACAGACCTGGTTAAACTGGCGAGTCACAAGGAAGCCTGTGTTTCGGGGTCCATGTCCGCTTAAACCGCCAGCAGAAAGCACAGCCCTTCTCACAGTATCGACAGCCTTGCTCACGTTCTTGCTGGCCATACGGAGAATGATGGTCTGAGTGAGATGATCAGGTCGCTTGTCCAGTCAAACAATATCGCATGCAAGTGTCTCAAAGGGACTACACCTGAGCTGTGATGGTGGACTGACAGGAGCTTTTGAATAGCACAGGACAAATCGAGACGAGCCAGCTGGCGCGAGATAGCCGTCTAGAATTGTTCCACACAGAACCCAGCAACTACTGTACACGCGCCTATGATATGATGTTATATCGGGTGCACAGCTTCTGTTACGGGCAAGATACGAAAGATCATCTGAACCTGACTTTACCTACCCAAAGGTAGTAAGTACTTGTCGATTCCTCGCATCCAATTAGTTGATTCAGCCTGGGTATTGGGGGTCACGGTGTCGGAGCTTTATCGCGTGCCCGAACTGATAAGGCAGCATCCACGCACGCCAACAACAACCAGCCACCAGTGAGCATCACGATAACAATCATGGCACATAGGCTCGTGCTATTGCTGTAGCTACGGAGTCAGAACGTGCTTGGCATGGAGACGCTCCTACTATATTCTTCACCTTATTTTCTTGACGCGATCCTTGACAACTTTGCGATAACTTACTCGCTCGGTAGTTGAGATCTTCAACTCAACGTGGCGATCCACGAGTCAGTGGGCCGAACCGGAGGTCCATCAGCGGCAACTCCGGGTCCTCGCCCGAAGAACACGCAAGACAACGACAATCAGAGGGGGCCTCGGAGCGGGATCTCTTATCTATACTTTGGCTTTCCCATTCCCACGCGATTACCGCCAGCGGATGCACTATCAGATAAGTACTAGGTAGTCAGAACTGTACCTGCCGGAACGAGCATTCCCCATTACGGTCCTTTGTTACATGCTGATGAGCACGTGTGACAACAAGATGGCATGCTCCTTATTTGGGTTCTTGCGATCAATATCACCCTGCACCAGAAACGAAAACAAAGCCAAGGGAGGGTGCTCAGAAGCCTCCAGCTGTCATTGTCTGCAGGGTCTTGCGAACCACGAATGACGAGCGTTGAACCAAGACATTGATTCATTGTACTTGGTGACGCCATGTCTCTGGTACCCAGTGTCAGCTCTCCCTCTTTGAGCCTGGTCCGTTTACTGCCTGTGAAGGAATTCCAATGGGGTCAATCCAAGCTTTACAAAGGGTGGTAGGGTGAGATTGACTGGTGACGCACCGAGACAAAACCCAACCCCAACCCAAGAGAAGGGTTGGGTTTAAGAAGAGGTCATTGTTGGATCGCCAGGTCTTATTCCTCGTTCAGAGGAACACCAAACGTTGATCGTTCCTGTCGTCCTTGTACGCTCCTGAACGACAGGGCAAAGGAAAATTGTTTAAAGTTATTTTGCCTTGATTCTCGCGAGTTCTGGCCTGGCCTTGATCGCCGTGACATCACCAGCAACCATGACCCAAAAGACTGTGCCTATCTAGACTCAGGCCAAGTCACGAGAACAGGATAGGAGCACAGCACAGTACCTATCCAAGTGGTTCTCGACTCGTTCTGGTCATAGGCCGAAACTCTAAATACCCCCCCTCCAAGTCCCAAGACCTTTTCCCTCGTGCTCTTGTGTCTCATCCCCATCTCAATTCCTCTGGTAGGTTGTCTTTCTTATCGCTCCCTTGTCATTCGCTCTTGGCCTTCCAACCCTGCATCCTTCCGTCATCTGCTGGGCTTGTGGAAAAAACGCGGGGTCTGTCTTGTCTCCCCCACACTCTGCAGGGTCTCAGAAAGAGACAAAAACAAATTTGTTGATTCTTTCAATCAAATCACAACAAAAATCTGGGGTTCTTTTATCTTTGAGGTTGCAGAGTTGTGGAGCATCCATCACATAAGGATTGGTGCGCCAGATCGGTCCAGATACAGAGATACAAACACACAGAAATAGCAACTGTTATTAGCATACAGTTACAGCTTTGTCCAACGGCTGAGACTGGGCTTGATGATGCTCAGATCAGAGCTGTTGAGCTGATCGATAGATCAGCCATTAAACTCAAACTGCTGAGGCTTCCCTCCATTTACTCCCCTCCTCCTGCCCATGATAGCTCACGGTGCTGTGCTGAAGCTAGGCCTAGGCTTACTGTGTTATTTACGTCTACGCACGCGCGAGCCGCCTGGGTAGGCTAAGAAGAAACGGAACGAGACTTGCAGCATCAGGCTAATAGTGATAATACTCGGATGCCTAACTGAGGTTTCCGCGAAACCCCATGTTTCACGGTTTCACCTGGTTGTTATTGTCACGAGACCTGCTAGGCACAAAGACAATATGACCTTGGACGACATGTCAGTTTGGGGCTGTGTTACCTCCGCCGTTCCTACGCTGTCCTCTGATGTCCTCTGGTGTCCTCTGGTGTCCTCTGGTGTCCTCTGGTGTCCTCTCAGTGATCAGCAGTCCGCTCGACAATCTAGCGAAAGTACTAATGTCCGCCAGCCTCCGTGCCTCACCCTAATAAAACTACTAAACCTGCAACGTTCCGCTCCTCATTTGTTGTTTCTTTACTCCAACACATGCGACCTTTTCATTCGCTGGGACTAGATTTCCGCTTGCAGTCCAACGTGCAGGGAATGACTGTGTGCTACTAAGCCCACTATTAACCGCTTCTTCATGACGCTGGCCAAGTGACATGATGAGCCTGTTGATTACAAGATTGAGAATCGATTGCTCATTTGCTCCAAGACTTATTCTCTGCTCTGCACAACTTGGTCGGGCCTCATCTTCGATTGAGGTGCATCATGCAGGAATCTCCCAAAACGAAAACAAAAGTGCCATTGCCCGGGCAGAAACTCTGATTTTCCCATCCTTTCTTCTGTACGGTAATTCGGCACAGAGACATCCGTTTGAGACATTAACGCATCATTTGTGGTCAATTGTCCATGCAGCGACGAATTCACCATCGCGATGAGAATGAGGCCTGACATTATCAACAACTCATGTTTTTAGCTTTGCATGGTGAGTCTACATAGTGAGTCAGTCTGTTGCATAGATACATGGAGATAAGCCTGCAACACCAAGGATATATGAAGTGAATGAGATATAGTAACCAACACATCAAGATTGAGCATACTACAAATCTTGATGAGTTTCTCGGCAGCCCCGGATGTATTACCATTTTAAGCTGCTGGAATGCCTATTCTAACAGAACATGAGTTGTCAACTTGAAGTTGCTGCATGTAAAGTACATGCATATCCAACTTGCTTCGTCCAGCATGGGAAGTGGTATGATGTTTATACCCTGCAATAACAACGCACCTAAATTTGAAGAGTTGCGAGGCGAAGCGCCCACAAAAATAGCATGTGAATGAGCAAGGTATCACGATTTGATCGAATCTGTATTTGCTGAATTGTTCTAGAAGGGTTGTCTTGTAAATATCTCAAACTTGGTCTGTGTCTTCTTGCTCGATTGTGAGTTTTAGTCTAGGGTAAGTTCCATTTCAGTGACACCAGGATTAAAAGCTTTTATCAAACTGAACGCAAGTAAATAATTACAAAGAAGATATCATTATGCCAAGTTTTATGGTACTTTTTCATGCCAAGATATGGCATTCATTGTCACAAAGAGTTTGAGTGCCGTCAAGTTGAGCGCACCCCCCAGGGATGCGTGACACGGACACCAATTGACTAACACATGTTCAAATATCTCGTGGTCAGGCTTCATATGTAACTCATAGGAACATTCAAAGCCCATAGAATCCTCTCGATATTCAATCTTGTACTTTGGTGTTAAAATCGGGCGGAAACGATGCATCATGGTGATATGTAAGCCTATTTGCCAGTTTGAGGTCGGGTAGTCCATCATCACCTCTTCAGCATCATCTCAACACTCACTCACTGTACGCAAGGAATACGAGAACATGAGTTACGTTTATGAAATAAACTGTTTTATTGATTCATGTAGAGTATATTTACTTCAGACTTGCGTGTGTTTTGTATGTTCTGCCTGCCTGTATGGTGCCACCAAAACATCTCATCAATATAATCTTTCCCAGCGTGTTTTTCTTTCACATACGACCATACCTACCAGAAAATACGGGATCCCGTCCGCTCTCCCATAGTCAAGCTGGTAAGGGGCGGATTAGTAGTTGGGTCGGTGACGACCAGCGAATCCCCGCTGTTGTATGTTTTTGTTGTTTTTTGCATTGAGGGTATAGTGGGCAAGACGTAGTATATCTAGTATCATTTAGTAGCTACAATATTATCAGACAACGACCGTTTGTATTGTTTTCCTTTAATCTGTCAACTGTAGCAAGGTGATGAGTCTCTGGGTTCTTAGACTATATCTTTGCTGATCGAACGTGGAGCTCATATAAACCCACACAATGTTCCCACTTCGCCTCTCTCAATAGACAAAGTCCCCGGCTCCATCACGAGACAAGCCCAACAATGAAATATTCGTCTTTGATCAACTGAAACCTATGAGATAGTAGTAAGAGATACTACTTTGAGGTACCTGGGTAGCATGCTGTTCTTTATCGGCCATTTGTGATGGAAGTCCCCAACTGTCAAGACAGTAAGTGAACACTCATATCGATCAACTCATAAGCTTTCTGCTGAGATATCGAGACATCAAGTTTTCGTCCTTAGAGTATAAAGTCTAAAGTAAATGCTGCCATAGTATGTTTCTCTCTAAAGGTTAATGTGAAAGGAGAGTACGGCCACCTGGTAACCAGTTTCCAATGTCGCGGGAGCATGTTGTGAGTTAGCCACAATACATATGAGAATATGATTGAAAACTATTGTTATAAGTATCGAACCCATATTGAACTGTTTCTATCCTCAGAAGAGAGATTCTTTAGAGTACGCGAGTTCCTCCCATCTTGGATCATCCAGAACGCAATGCTTAACTCGACATTTGCCAACGAGAACTACGCAGGTCCAATTCGCAAATGGCATAACGATAAACTGAGATGGATTGTTCATGATCAAAATAAAGATCTTTTAAGATTGGTCACAAGAGAATCCGGAGGAAAGGTCCCGTTAAGAATACGGATCGGCGGTTCGATTTGCGACTATGTATATGACTGGAAGCCAACGAAGCAACGACTATAAATGCATACAGCAGGAAAGGAGCATTATAGTATGCACCCTTGCGAGAAAACACTAGATTCAATAGGTATTGGTAGTGTTTCTGTGCCTCTATTCGATCGACTCTTGTTAGCTGAGCCAAACACTCAGCAATGCGTCTCATGACCTTGACCAGCGTGCTCAGCGTGAATAACAACTGAGACCACTGGCTTGAATAATATTGGAAATAGATAACTTACATCTATCGTTATGATACCAAAGTCATTTATTTGCTACGTGGTATTAGACAATGTTAACGGCAATGTGTATAAATCTCCAAGCACATGAACCATGAAAACAACTGGACTTTTATTCTCAGAGCTTATTGTTCGGAATGTCCTTGCGTCTATCCGTAAACCAATTGTAGTCAACAAAAACGATGCTCAATTAGGACCATCAGATGAAAGCTCCGGATATTTTGTTTCCCAATTCGTCCTCGCCAAGGGAACCCTTGTTCTATCTTGACAACCTTCAAAAGTCAAAATATTATAGGAAATTCGTTTCAATGGTGGGAAATATTTCATCAAATGTTTCCGTCCCTTTAAAGTGTTACTTCCAAATGGGGATTCCTCCGAAGGGCGGCTATCGAAAGTATATGCTATATCGCTCGGTATATAACTTGGAGATGTTTTCTTAATCATGATGAGGGAGCATCTTTTTCCATATCCGTCGCCATCATCTTTCTGTTGATCTCATCTCAAATACAATCATCATGTATATCTCTCTTTCTCTTCTTTGCACGGCTGCCCTGGCTGCTGCTCATGGCTACGTCGAGACTGCCATCATTGGAGGGCAGACGTACCAGTTCTACAACCCCTACCAAGACCCCTACCAGAACCCTCCTCCTAAGCGCATCTCTCGCGCTATCCCCGGCAACGGTCCCGTAGAAGACGTCAATTCTGTTGATCTCCAGTGCAATGGATACACTGCCGGTGGTATCACGGGTAGCCAGCCAGCTGCCCTTCACGCCGAGGCCGCAGCCGGATCAACTGTAAACTTGAAGTGGACTCTTTGGCCCGACTCTCACGTTGGACCTGTCATGACTTACATGGCTCGCTGCCCCGACTCTGGCTGTGATGCTTGGATGCCTGGCACTCAGAAGGTGTGGTTCAAGATTCAGGAGGCTGGACGTGATGGAACCAGCAACAATTGGGCTTCTGTATGTATACTCCCATGGAAACCGACATTAGCATTGTGACTAACATATCGTGATCACAGTCCGTTATCATGAAGGCTGGCAACAGCGGCGTCAACTACACCATCCCCCAATGCATCAAGCCTGGCTACTACCTCGTCCGCCACGAAACCATTGCTCTTCACTCTGCGACCGGATACCCAGGAGCCCAGTTTTACCCTGGATGCCATCAGCTCAAGGTGACGGGAAGTGGCAGCACCGCTCCTTCAAACCTCGTTTCGTTCCCGGGCGCTTATGCAAGCAGCGACCCTGGTGTCACCTACAACCCTTACCAGGGTGAGTCATATCTGCCCGTAGCCTTGTTGTAACGTTTGCTAACTGGTGTGCAGCTACCACTTACAAGATCCCTGGCCCTGCTGTGTTCAAGTGTTAAATTCAGTATTGAGTCGCTTGTAGCAAAACTCATTCTTTCCACTAGCTGGACTTTATTCTTTGACATATTTGAGGTTCGGGCATATGAAATTGTTGTATATAAGTGGTATCAGACATGAACTGCACATAGTATTATAGTCCTTCAGATATCAAACCATATATTACACCTCTGGTAGTGCCAATTTCTCTTGAGGCATTACAATGCACATTATTTGTTAGGGGGTGTCCTTGTCCCAGAGGAACTGAAAGTGGCAGCCCTCTTAACCACCTGAACCACCTCTCCGGTAGGAGACTCAGTATGTACCCACCAATGCCAGATGATCGCCAAAAGAACAACAAAAACAGTCAAAGGGATGGCGATCCACCACATGGTCCAGAACAAAGGCGTAAGTCGAATATCCCAAGTCTCACCATCCTTGTGAACCTCGGACGAAAACAGCTGCGACCCAATAACCGTGGCAACACCGGTCGTAGGCAGAAAGATCATGGTGATGGCAGCAATGACCTTCATAGAGTTAGAGTCTTGAATCATGACCATTGAGTCCTGTTGGGTGACAAGGTTGAAAGACAGCGTGATTGCGTTGTCGATGCGCTTTTGCAGACTGCTCAGTCGTAGTTGACTAGACATGAACAAGGAACGTCTGTACTGGAGAGTTTCGCGCAGTTGTTTAAGAACCGGCTCCCGAGTTGTAGGCTGTTCAGCGTGGCTATGATTGCCTACGTTGTGAAGTGTTGCATCTACAAGCATAATGCACGACTCGATTGCTTCGCTTATGTGAATGATGTGTTTGGCGCAGTTGTGCATGGCAGAGAAGGGAACTTTGGAGCTCATCTTGCGGACGTTTTTTGAGTTGGAGTATTCGAGGATCAACTATAGCGAGTGAGTTGAAAGAACCATGGATTAGGA